ACCTGCGGGGGGTGGGGGGCTCCGGGGGCCGCTCGCCGCAGTCATCAGCGAGGCAGTGACTGAGCCCCCCACTGTTCCCTCTGGCCCGCGCCAGTCCTTCCCACCTAACCTCCTCACCCGCTGTGCTTTGGGGGTCTCTCCAGCGCCTGTGTACCCCTCCAACCTCCCCTCTGGACGCCTGCTCCACTCCCACAGGGCTGGGCTTTCCAGCCCCAGGAGGCCCTGTGCCCCCCACTGACTGCCATCCTAGCGCCCCTGCCCGGCCACAGAATTCATCACTCCACACTACACTGGGGGGGGCCCAGCGGGTGCTGCTGGGGTGAACCAGGGCCGTGTCTACACACAAGACCGCTCCCTTCCTGTCTGCACCCCCACCAAGACACAGCACACACCCTCCCGCAGGGGAGCCCCTGGGACGCGGGTTTGGGGACCTGGTTGGGCACCAGCAACCGGCTGGGCGTCTCCTCTCTGGACCCAGAAGGCCACGCTGGGTGGCAGACAGAGCCAGGAGCGAGGCCCCTCACCTGGATGGCCTGCACCAGCCGGTTGCTGAGCTCCAGGGCGGCGGAGGCAGTGGACGAGCCGAAGGAGGCGGCCCCCCGCTGCAGCCCCCGCATGAGGCGCCCGTCCTTCCGGTACTGCTCGATGGGCAGCCACAGCAGGTCCCGGAACCCTTGGACTGGAGCGGCGGGGCGTCAGCGACGCCCTGGGGTGGCGCCCCACCTCCCCACGCAGGCCTCCACCTGCTCCCACTGGCGGCTTCCAGGCTGCCCAGGAGGGACAGCAGCTTCCGGACCCCCGGCCCAGACTCACAGAGCTGGACCACCGAGTGCATGGGCCCCACGCCCCCCAGCAGGCCGGGCAGCTGGTTCTTGCGGATGTCCTGCAGCCACTCGTTGAGGGCATAGCCCAGCACCTTGTCCACCCCCAGGAGCCTGCGAAGAGGAGAGGGCAGGAGGGGAAGTCACACCGGAGGGGCCCGGCCACGAGGCCCCGCTCTCCTGCCACCCACCGGCCCGTGCAGAGAGCCCTGCGCTCATTTTCCTGGACAGGCGGGGCGATGCCGGCCAGCCCAGAGCCAGGCAGGCGCGGGAGGCGCCGGGCGGGGCTGCTCACCCATGCCGGCAGCACAGCCGCTTGAGCTTCAGCTCCGAGCAGTTGAGCTGGGCCAGGCCGATGAGGAGGCCGGCGAAGGTGCCCTGCGAGGGAGCAGGGGCTCAGGGCACGGGAGGGGCTGGGCCGGACTGGCAGCCTAGGCTCCTCGGGAACTGGGAGGCGGCCCGGCCCCGCCCCCAAGGACCACACCTGGCAGAGCCTCTGAGGGCGCGACCCAGGTGGCCCCTGCACCCGACGGCCCCACGCACCACCTGGTCCATGGTGACGTGCTTGCCGTGGTAGTCCAGCCAGATGGGCACCTCGGACGTGAAGCGGAACTCCCTGCGGGAGGTGAGGAGAAGCCATGACGCCTGCGCCGGCCCACGCCGCTCGCGGCCCCGCCTGCGCCCTCCGAGCTCCCACCTGAAGTAGATCGGCTGCTGCTCGGCAGGGGAGCCGTGGCCGCCGCCCGCGGCCTCCTGGGAGCCGGGCACCCCTGGGCCCTCAGTCTCCCCTTCTTGCACGTGGGGCTCAGGGCGAGCTGCGGGTCGGGGGAGCGCAGGTCAGGGGAGGCCGGAGGGGCGGCCTGGGCGCCCCTCCCTCCCTAGCCCAGCTCTTACCCTCCGTGGTGTCCACGGGGACCATGGGGTTGATGCCGGCGGCCAGGCTGGTGAAGAAGTCCCTGAGGAAGAGCAGGGCGTCCTGCGGGAGGGGGCGGGCAGGTCAGCTTCGCCCGGGCAGTGGGTCCGCCCAGGGCCCGCCCCGCCCGCCCACTCGCCTGGTCCACGTTGAGCCGCAGCGGCATGAGCGAGACGCGGAGGCAGCACTCGGGGCCGCCCGGGTGGCTGGTGGGGGCCACGTGCAGGGCTTTGATGGTGAGCTGGGGGCAGAGGCGGCTCTGGGTGCGGCCGGCGGGC